GCTGCCCGCGCGCCTTTCCTAGTCCTCGCGGCATTAGGGCGCGCCGCCTTGCTGCGCGCGTGTACTGGCGCCCGGCGTGCTGCGCACGCCACTGCCGCCCGCACTGTCCCCTCGCGCGTGATCGCCAGCAGTCCGCACTCCTCAAGGACTGTGGCTTCGCGTCCCGTGCGTCCAGCCCCATCAGGCGTGTCACGCACGCCTTCCATCCGTGTGTGCCGACCTTCGGCTTCCTATTCCTTCTTGCGCGCGGTCTCGCGCGCGCTTGCGCCCCGCGCACGTCAACGCCAACCGCCTCAGCCTCGCCTAGTCCCGCACGGACTAGGCTTCGCACATCTGCCCCCCACGCGTGCGCCATCTTGCGCGCTATTCTTTCGCTGTCGCCCTTGTGCGCGTATGCACCCAACACGCCTATGCCTTCGCGGTGTAGGACTCCCGCGTTTGCGCTACACCCGTGCGCCCGGTTCCAATCGATCCTTCCGCGCGCGTGCCGTCGAGTGTCCGTCTTTCCTATGCGGACGAGGACTCTGCCTGCGTACACGCCCAACGCCCGCGCATCACCACCCGATGCGCGTCTCTCGCCCATTTTCCCATCGGCCACGCCAGTCCAACCCTCGTGTTCTCTGGGCCCGATCTCCACTTTTGCATCATTCCCGCCCCCTTTAAGCACATCCTTGTCCTCAAGGATCGAGGCTATTTCCAAACTCCTCATTTCGGCTTCTCGACTTTTTCCTTTCGGTTCGGTTTTTAACATGATGAGTCGGCTTCCTGAGTAGAATTTCATTATGCCTTTCTTGTAATTCGTAGTGACTTCTCCAAGTCCTTCAAGCCATTGAATTCCAAGAACTATCTCGGGACCCACAATAGGTAGTGCATAGAGGTCGGCTTTGATGATCTCGCCTTGCAGGTTGATAGGCATCTCTTGATAATATTCATGACATCTTAGCCGCTCTCCATTGGCAACCCTCACATCGAACGGTTCCACCTTTGTTGCCTTTAGCTTTAAGTCCTTGGGTACTTTGTCGCAAATAAAGTTATGCGATGAGCCGGTGTCGACTAGTACCTCGATTGGCCGTTCCTTGATCGTGGCGGGCAATCGTATTGTTCTTGGTCCCTGTAGGCCTGCCATTGCATTAACCGAGATCTCCAAATCTTCATTTACTTGCTGCGCTGGTTGGTCCTCGTAGGCCTCTTCCTCGTCCTCTTCAATGACCTCAATCACAAAAATTTGTTTTCATTGATGGCCTGGGGTGAACCTTTCTTCGCACTTGTAGCAGAGACCCTTCTCACGTCGGCGTCGCATCTCCTCGAACGTGAGTTGTTTAACGTTTGGAGGTGGCGTTCGAAAGTTGTTTGGTGGTCTCGGGTTAGGTTGGACGTTGCTTACATTCGATGGTGCGTTGTCTGTGATTGTGCGCTCGTTCAAGTATTGGTCCGTGCGTCGTTGCTCCAAGTTACGCATACTCTCTCGATCGACCCTCCGTGTGGCCGTTAAGTGTTCATCCCTCCTTCGTGCAGATTCTATGGCCTCACGCATGGTCTGTGGTCGGTCGTGCCTTACTTCTGCGACTAGCTCGAATTTGAGACCACCTATGAAAGTCCCGATGAGCGCAGAAATCGGCCAGTTGCGCACCCGACAGGCGAGTCGCTCGAACTCCTTTATGTAATCGCGAAGACTCCCCATCTGCTTGATGTGTGTGAGCGCCTCGTCGTAGCGGTGATAGTCGGATGACCCAAATCGAGCAAGTAATTCGCGTTCGAATTCTTCCCATCGGATGTGGAGCGGGTTGCCTTGGTAGCTGCTCACAAGCCATTGCCACCATACGTTGGCTTCCCCATCAAGATAGTAAGCAGCATACCTTACACGGTCATTCCCATCGGTCTCATTAAGCTCGAAATATTGCACAGCTGGGTTGAGCCATGCGTCAGGATCTGTGTCGGTGAAGGTGGACAGCGTTAGTCGTGGTTTGACGGGCTTCGGCCGGTCATAGTCGTTGGACGCCTGGGATCGCCGGTCGAAGTCCTCCTCTTGATCTCGCTCCTCGCGT